ACATGGGTTAGATACATGTACATTTTATAGTTGTCCGAAAGGCAAAAACACATTCTAAATATTTAATCGTCTAGTATTTAAGTGCTTAAATGTGTGCTTTTCTATAACTAAGCTTGTACTAAACTTGTATTAAAAGATGTTATATTAAAGTATATTTTTTAGTCTTTACAGTTATAATTTGGGGTCAATCGCTTTGACATTTAACAAATTAAAATGCAACCTTAATTTCATTTGTTTGGCCGTGTTCTAATAACTATTTTAAATCAAGTGACTCTTAAAGATCATGTGCAAAGTAATTCTTTGCAAAATTAAAGATGAAAAGGAGCAAAAACTATGAAAAAAAATGTAGTTGCCTGAACCCAAATTTCAACCCTACCTGCATTTAATTAAACATGCAACAAAATAATTTCAATCCATTGATTTTTTGCAAGTGGAAGCAACATAATTTTTTGCTTAATTGAAGTTGAAAATGGGTCATAACTATGTACAAATTTATACTAAAAGCTAGAAGCAGCGCTTTGGCGGATTTGAAGTTTTATGTTGTTTTTTATTGTTTCTTCAGTAAAATCCTAAAGTAATACCTGCTCGACGAGGCGAGCCGGTGTGGCGTGAATTTTGTCAGACCCACGAAAAACGTAAGACTTTACGTTCTGCGCATGCGCAGAAAGTTGTCGGACGGGACTGTGAGAGTTGTAAGACTTTCTGGTAGAATTGTGTGTAAACCTCGTTTAGAAGCTTATTAATTAATCCAAGTGTAGTTCCTCCTTTTATGCATGAGCATAGACTTATTTTCTACGATAACTACTTTTATTTATCTGTGACAACGTATCGTGTGGATGAAATATTGTCCAAATCAGTGGCATTCTTTCGAAATCGTTTGTTCCCGATGTCGGCAGGTCGAGTTGATGGAAAATCCTGGATATTCTAAGAGCATCAGAAAAAAGTTTATTATTGCAGTTAAACATGCAACATGACAGAAATTAAAATTAACAATTTAGTTACATGCTGTACCATATCATATTTATGAGATTTAGTTGGGTTTTTTTTACCCGACTCAACAATACTGGCATTGTTTTAAATTCTATATTCGGTTCATATTTCATACTGTTATTCTTGTTCTATGACAAACTTTAATACTTTAGTCAATAATGAAACTTTGTCATTAAGTTTCTGTCACTAGTATTTAAGATCTAATACTACTTATTATTCATCAAAATGTCATTTCAATTCAAGCTATAGTTTTGTTGTATGTTTTCATTTGCTTTTTGTGAAATACTTTTCATAGAAGTGTCATATTTTCTTGTTAATATGACTTTTACGGAAGGAATTTGCCGGCAAGGCCTTTGTCTGCATTGAACCATTTTGGTATTGCTTGAATCGTTAATTTCATAATTCATAAAATGCGTTTTCATTGTTCGATTTAATAACTTCTTGTTTACATTATATGTCTTTTTTTCATTTGATTCATTATTAAAATCATTTTATAAGTAGTCTTGTAGAATATTATGGATATAGTAGATACAATAAAACTATTCAAACGGTCAGAAAGCAAAGATGTTAAAGTTTAAATGCGATGATGTGGTGGAGTTTTTAATATATTTAAGTTTAAATTACTATCTATTTGTTGTTGTATACATGAACAGAAAAGCCATGTTAAAGTTGTTTGTCTCCAGATGAGTCAGAATATTTCAATAAAATCAAACTTGAGAACATGTACTACGATTATCGGAAAAGTAAAATGATTCAAGATTCAATAATATTTTACATGTTATGTGCGGTAAATGACAGGTTTTTTAGTATTTACAACTATATTTGTACTGAGTCATTAACGCAGTAAGGGCTATTTATGCATATTTTGACCAATTTTTTGTAATCTACGTGGGTTGTATGTGCCATTGATAATGCGTTTTTTTCCCCTTTAGTTATTTCGCAAGAAAAAACATTACACCTTCAAATACATTTTTAACATTTTCATGAAAAATTAGCGTGAATCTGGAGGCGTGCTAATTTAAAGCACAAAAAGGACTATGTGCGCCTTTGCAAATTCGTTTTTTTAGATGAATATTGGTGTTATATGTAATTATCAATATTCACAGAATAATATACAATAGAGAAAATAGTGCGACAGAAATGTTAATATATTAAAGCGGTCACAAAAAGTGGCATGATTAACTGCGGAATGACTCGATTCACTTTTTCGAGTCGTCGGTACAAAGAAAAGTATATAAAAACATTCACATTCATCAGCTTTACACTTCAGCACCAAATTAAGATTTCTTGCTTTATTTCAAAAAATACATATATTTACATTTTCCTCGAATGAAAAGACAATGTTTAATTCTCCGTATACAAATAATGGACTGTAAAAAAGTCTGTAGTTTACCGAGATTTGATATCGTGGAACTAGTCTAAAATTAAATCATGCGTAAACACGCTTCACCTATAAATAGGCAAGGTAAACCTAAAGGGGGAACGGGCGACTCAGGTTCGATTTCCGGACGACGCAGGTCACTTTCGTTATGATTGATAATGAAATCCTTTCTACGGTCATTCGCACTGTACCTTTGCTCTGGCATGTACAGAAGTTTCAGTTTCTTGCGAAAGTGAATGCTACTAGTACTGGTAAACTGCCTGAGAGCCTGGCCAGGAATGATGCGGTGGTTGAACTGTGCTCTGGTGAATTCAATGTGGCTTACCGTCGTAATCCGGAGGGAAAACTACCAACACCTCCACAAAGGGGAACTGTTTCACGTGTAAAACGCATTCTTGTTGCATTGGAAAGTAATAAAACATCTGAATTTTTCAATTTATCCTTTTGTTTGAAATTAAGGAAATAAGTTTGTTGAACAAATTTAAATGTATATATTTTAATGTTTTGTATTTTTCTTTTTAAAAGTAATTTGGATAGTACTTCAAAAACTTTACTAGCCGCCTTTAATATAGTAAGGCGATGTCACACGAGTTTTTGTTTTTTCTTTGTGTTTTTATTTCGGTTAGATTTGGTAATGATCATCTTTAATGACTTATACAAGTATACTATGATAATGCTCAATTTTAATGTTTTTATTGTCGGTCATTTGCTTATTAAAAGTTTAGATATCGTTTAATTAGGATAAAATTAATAATTATCAAGACATTAGGCTAGACCAGCGTGTCAGTTCTGTCTGTATATGTAATAGAAAGAGCACCGAAACACGAGGCTATCTGATTTGTACGAGGGGGCGTAGCCCCCGAGTATAAATCAGATTGCCGAGTGTTTTGGTGTTCTTTCTCTTTTGTATCATTGTCAAACATAAAAACACGTTCCCTGTTGTCACAATTTTAAACCCCGGGAAAAAGTAACCAATGATCGAGCATCTGAATATGATATTTCTGCCGCTTTCCCTTTCTCTGCCGTCACAATATGTAAACCCCAGCAAAAATGAGCCAATCAACGGGCATGATCTGGATTGCGGGTAACTGATACCTGCACTCCAGTTACCGCACTGTGCATGTATATGTATACGATTTAACTCTGACACCTTTTCAACAGAAAGGTCCCCAAACTATGATACAAATATAAGATACATGAGGTCAGATTCCAGGCACAATACGACATTGACTAACGGTACCCGTCATGTCACAGCATAAAACGGGTACTACTAGTACGATATAATGAAATGTTCGTGTCGTTATGCCTCTCCTTTATTTTCAACAACTGCGCAGATCAAAACAAATATTCGTCTACATAGCAATTTTTGGGTTATTCTAAAAGTATGCAGTGCACAGCTGACCATTCCTTCGCAGTCAGTTTACGCGTGGGTAAAACCTTGCTTGTTAATTTATTGAGACAAATAGTATGATTCATATTACTTCATAATACAACACAGATCAATTTTGAAAACAGAATAATGGTTACATGCACCAAATATCAAAACTGTTTGACTGGGACAATTGCAGAAAAAAAAAGAATATTTTTGATAATTCATAAACATACCAAATTTCGCACCCTTTTGGTTTTTACTAAAGTTCTATAACCTTTTCGTAATGTTGTAAAAATGTGTTAAATAATGTTTAAAATAATTGATTTGCATATTCGATTGCAATGGTACTTAACGAAATGGTACTTTAACTTCGATACAAACTATCTAAAACATATGACTAACAATTGCCCAAATCCTAAAGAGTGATAATTTTTTCGTATCTTTCAATATTTGAATAATAAACGTATGTCATGCTGCAGGTATATATTTCCAAATTACAGTGGTATACAACTTTCGAATGCGTATTTCTTTTAATCTTTGATGATATATTTGATGATCATATGTGTCGCAATTTCTGCAGGCATATCGGGAACTGTCCAAGAGCTACATTGCAAAACGATGTACCACTGAAATTGGAAAATATTTGCCTGGAACATGATTAATGTTTGTTATTCAAATATTGAAAGATATAGCAAATAACATCAGCGATAAGCAAATAATACCATAAACAATTGTCCCATAATCACCCATCCTGCTAATAAGTTTTTAGTTAAAATGTATGAAACCTTTAATCAATATTGTCATGTTTGTCTCGGTTTAAACAATATAAAGGACACATTCTTTTTTATCTTAAGTCACAGTTACATCGATAATAGTTTACTTCTTGTAAGATTCAAATCGACCAGCACGAGATTTTAAATAAAAAACTGGTTATGATATTTTGGTCACAGTTAGGACCATAGCAAGGTATGTGCAAACCCAATCCAAAATAATGTCGATATTAAGGGAGGTCAGTTGGCACTTGTTCGTCTTTTAGTCTTTTAACCTGTTTGCTGTTCGGGCTCAATTATTTCACATATGAAGAAAATTAAGTTTGCCTTAGCTGCTATGAAAGCTGTTGCCAAAATGATATGATTATTTTTCTACGTGTGTCTCTTAAACAGCCTGTCACCAAAGGTTTGAAAAATTATTGTAGAATGAAGGCACACAAAGATTTGCTCTATTTACATTTTTGTTATAGACAAAAAATACATAACATTATCAGATACATTTTATTAACGTAAGATAGAAATACAAGAATATCAATAATAGAAATATTGCAGCATGGTTTTCTCGTGTCTTTATTACGTTGTTGAGCAAATACACGTTCGCGATGTGTTAAAAGCAATCCAGTCACATATCGTTTATGATTGTTCTGTAGACGGCATTACTAGAGCTAAATTAATTAAACTCTTCTCTTAAACGGTAGTTATATTCCTCTGTTGTTGTTTTCTTTTTAATTTGATCGAAATATTTTAGTGTATACTTATATTATATATGTATGATCTACTTTAGAAATTTAAAAAACAGAATTAACAAAAGAAAACAAGCTTATATACATATTATTCAGCCAAAAGCTAAAACAAAGAACGAGAAACACACTAACACATATATCTATAATCGTTACATAGTTTTAAAACTTGCAAATGTTGTAAATCATGATGGGCAAATTAATTATAGAATTGAATGAAGGTTATTGAAAAACAAAATCATTTTATTTTTTGCAATTGAAAGATTGACATGAAATCACTGATTATGTATTTGCATCAAGTCGTTGTTTTATTTGTCATCGAAATGATTTTCTTCTTATTTCAATTGTCATTGATTTATCTGCAAAGAAAACAAAGAAGACGACTGATTGTTTTATTACACAGTAGCATAATTGATATTCACCAATACCGTAACTATAGTTTGAGTATCGTTAATTAATTACGTGTTTAAAATGTACACTATCATTAATGTTGTACAGATGTGTTTAGTTTCTAAGTCAGTCTAGTTGGAATACACAGGAAACAGTATTACAAATATGAGATAAATTTCACTTTTAATATCATTTCAAAAACAGATATTTGAATTTTAGGAAAATAATACGATAATAAATCATAATAATAATAATAATAAGCCAACCTTTGATTCTATTTCTTGCCATTGTAGCCATTCTTAGACAACTTAGAAATACGTTCTTTCAGCAGTTCCTTTAATAATTCTCTCTCGACAAGTCCCGCTATTTCTCCTTCTTCAGTCTCGCTTTCACCAGGTGTCGTAGAACCAACGGGTGCAGGTGTTGTCATTTCAGTCTGAGATTCGGAATCTAGACTGTCAGTGGTTGTCTCATCATTCATTGTTGCCTCTTCATCATTTTCCTCTACATTATTTGCCTCTTCACCACCAACAGCTTCCTGTCGCCCTTCCAACATGCATTCGTCTTAAAGAAAAAAACAAAAATAACAGAAACACATAAAATTTATAGCGGGGAACACAGTTGTATTAACTGTAAAGCTGAAGTTCTTCAGTAGCATTGAATATATTAGCATATTTAGGTTATTTAGACCCCAAAACAGGCAATAGGAACTTAAAGAAAACACATTTAAATTATTTAAATCTCAAGATGGATAAGAAAAAACATGAAATGCCAATTTAAAGGACATGAAATTTGTGTTGTATGTCAATATATAACCCAAACACACGGGCACGGTGCTCTCACGACAATCTAAACCGGTATGGTTGGGAAAACATAGAAATCGTACTAGAAACCCAGTTTTATTTTTACAAAAAAATCGGCTAAAATCTGTTAAACCGGCGTCCTGCGTTGTGTGTTATTAATATTGCAAACTTAACTATTTTTCAGGTAAACATTTATATCTAACTATGTTGAAATCATTTGTATTTGCTAAATATTGAATTTAAAGAGATATGATGCCTTATGAGCGTAACATTAACAAACCAGCAGGGCTGGAAACCTCAATTCTTATGGTCAGTAGGTATCACATTTAAATGAGAGTTAATATTCGATTAGGTAAAACAGTCAATTGCAATGATTGAAAGTCAAATGAATCACAATATAGTTTTTGACAAACAGTTGTTGAAGACTTATTCCTAATTAAGATCCTGATTTTGAATTGGTTAAATACTGATAATGAAGAACTTTCCTATTTATAATTTTTATATCCTTGTACCCGTGTAACACGCCAGTTTTAAAAGCAGTCTAGCATATAGTTCTATTTAAGTTCTATAGGTAAAACAGCATTAAGTAGGGTCAGTTGTTTTTGATTTTCTTTATAATAATTGTGAATAGGATGATTTAATAGATAGATATAAGTTTCCAGTACTTACATGCAGTTTGGGCTGCTAGCGCTAATGAACCGATGAAATCAACTGCGTCAGGCTCTTCCTCAAGGTCTCTTGCTGAAATAAAAAAGTTCGATATACTAAATGAGAAAAGTTTAATTTCAAGGGAAAGATATGGTTATTATATGTCTAGCCGCCATTTTTGAGTGTCCTGCTTATAATTCATGTACGATAAATAAATTTAAAAAAAAACAACACATGATCCGTTTACTTGTAACCACTACTAACGTGACAGAAAATAAAAGCAATTTGTGCAATGTTTTAACTTTGATTACGTCCACATTGGTTTAACAAAAGACCCTAATATATCAATAGCACCAGGTGCATGTACAAAGGTTTATTTACATTCAACCTTTGCGGTTCCCCTTTTATATATTACTGTTCGAAAAACAAAATATCTCTACCGAGAACTATAAAGACAAATCATACTTTCCAAATCTCAAATAAATAAAATCATAACTTGCCTTATAGGCAGACCTTATAGGTAGACAATGGTTTTAGCCTTTACTAAAGGCCGTTTTCTGCTATTCATAAACTGATTGTCACCCTATCATTTGTAGGTCAACATTCAGATGCAAATATCTTCAATTCTAAGTCATAGTTTGGGAAACAAACTTTATTTCACACTAAATGAAAGCAATCAATGGAACATAAATCAAGTTTGTTTTGTTTGTTTTTTCTGTTTTTTTTTCTTTTTTCTTCTTTCTGTTTCTTTCAGAAAAAGGAGCTTTAAGCTGAACTAAATTCTACTTCACACCGCTGACTGGTTATTGTTATCGGAAAACAATTCCGAAAATGCTTTCTTATTTGTGCTTTAACGGCCAATATAGGTTCATTGCTAACGCTGTACACAGCCGGTGCTAAACCAGCTTCCTTTCAAATAAAATTCAAAATTTTCTAACACAAAAAAAATCATTGTATATAAACTGTCTGTATGCTTCCGTCTCAAAAGGTCAAGGTCACAAAGCTTTAAGTACTGAGGTAAATTATAATAAAATGTACATACACCCAACGACAATTTGTTCATTATCATAAATACAAAAATTGAAGTAAAATTTATTTATTCTGATATTAAAGAAAAAGATTACCAATCTAAAATGGGTTTCAAGTTTTTTTTCTTCAAACACAGATTTTTTTCATGGTATGAAAGTAAAATTTTATAAGTGGCAGTAGCTACGAGTGAAATATGATAATATTCATATCACAAGATGAAAACAAATCCTGTATTAAAAGAAAAAAACTTGAATTTTCTTTTTATTATACACATTTTGGTCGAAAAAAATCATTAAACGGTTTCTCAATTGTCAAGTATAAATTTATACAAAGATGATGTAGATTTATGTCCAAATTTAAAGTTTCTGAACTACAAAAATGTTTCATTAGAATTTTTTCAATTCTGCACTTCAATAATTTTCCTGCCCAGAATGACACAATGTTTAAATACTTAAAACCACGTACATGTTTCAAGACTGGACCTATATACTTTTAACGCATTTGTAACAAAACGTTCCTGTTCAAATCGTGTATGACAAAGACATGTATGACAAAGACATACAACTCTGTAAAATAATTCACTAGCGAATCACAATATACCGTTCAATCATGGTTTCATGACAAACTGTTGAATCAGCCAATCATTAGTATGAACCAAAAGCTAAAACAATTAAATTATTATTCTTTTCGAAACTCACCGATTTTGCGTTTGACTTCTGGGGTCAATTCTGGATCAATATCCAAATCTTCTTGCCCAGCTTCTGGCAAAAATAGTATAAGACTATTGATTTAAAAAGATGTACGTGAATTTGATATACCGTATGCAACACAATTCCAGTTTAACTAAACAATAAATGTTCTTGAAGAGAATGAATTATAATATGGTTATGTTATAGAAAATACAATGTAAATCATTTTTAAATAAAACATTAACAGACGCCTACATTTGTTTAAAAGAGGATCAAAAGGTGGCAATGTCTGGCTAAGTCTAAATTTAACATGTCATCGAATGTCATGTACTTTACGGGTACTTTCTTGTTCCTTTCACGTATTTTGTAATTTATGACTTCTTAAATAGAACATACCATTTAAAACCATTCAAATGAGACAGCAAGAAGTAAACATTGCGACATAAAATAAAACCATTTTTCTACCTGTATTTCCATAAAACGTTGAAGCAAATAATTCTCCACATTCACCCTGAATCAAATCCTGAATCCTTTGTACAAAATCTAGAAATTAATGATATTTTATATATAGAATATCATTAAAACACTAAACTTTTCAAATACTGAACCATGACTTCAATAGTGGCACAGTTATACGGCTGTATTAATCAGGTTCCTCAAAATTAATCGATTTATTTATCAACGTGTCTTATTTATGCTGATAAACGTATTAAGTACAGAAAATCAAGATAGATCTGTGTATAATAGTTACTGTAATTCAGGTAATTCTTTTGTTAATAAAGAAATAATTCTTATTCGTTATATATTTTAGTTTGCTCTTAAAATAAACCAAAGATCAGTCTAATTATATATTTTGACGTACATTCAACGCCGCCTTCGTCATCAGAAATGTCTGGTTCCTGTCCTAGGTCTGATTCAAAATCTTCCTGTCCTTGGTCTGTTTCAAAATCTCCCGTAGTTTGGTCTGTTTCAAAATCTCCCGTAGCTTGGTCTGTTTCAAAATCTCCCATAGCTTGGTCTGTTTCTTCTTCTGGAAGCCTCTTCATAAGATCAGAATATTCGCTTTTTTCTTGAAGTTTATTTAACGCCCTCAAGAGTCTGTTAATTTATTTAAACAGATAAAGTCAGAACATAACCACCTTATTGAATACATTTATATGAAAAACTGTTTAGAACAATACACCTTTACTTGCATAGTATATAGTGTGCGAAATATATAAAGTTGATTAAACTGATTCGAGATAATAAAAGGCACCTACTCTATCAAAAATTATATATAACTTTATAACATTATCAAAATGCAAAAGAAGGCCTCACTCCTCCAGTAACGTGGCACACATTTGATGTAAAATTATAGACATGGTTATCTCGACCATGCATAGCTACATATAGATTTGGAAAAGATACTAATTTCTTCACTTGTAAGTATTTTTTTACTTTACTATGTGCTTTAGAAATGTTGCTAACAGGTTAAATACATGTAGTTTTAAATAAAATAATGAAGTCCTAAAGATTGTTTGTTTAAGGCTTGTCCATTTATTTGTACGAGCAATTATACAACACATTTAACTTTTATACCCACCTACTTATACGACCACATTTAACTTTGATACCCGCCTACTTATACGACCACATTTAACTTTGATACCCGCCTACTTATACGAACACATTTAACTTTTATACCCGCCTACTTATATGACCGCCTTTAACTTTTATATCCGCCTACTTATACGAACACATTTAACTTTTATATCCGCCTACTTATATGACCACATTTAACTTTTATACCCTCCTAATTTTACGACCACATCCACCTACCTACATGCAAAACAAATACAAGTTATCAATGTGAAACTTGACTTACAATTCTCGTCTAAGATAACTGGGATCACTAGCTCTACCTTGAACTATCACCATACACAAAGCCAAACACAACATAATCTTTACAGTAAGTGCCATATTTGATATGTTCAGAGATCTGCAAAAAAAGAGAAACAAAACTCGAATACATATAGATTAAGTAAGTACGGCTTAAGCGTCATATTTATCAATTTGTATTGCTATAGAAAGAATAATAAGAAGTATATTAAAGTTAATTTTGTGTAACCAGTGACGGTTGAGAAACTACTTTTCACGCCTCGACATTGTAAATATGGCCTGTGTAAACAGTCAATTGATATTCCAGACATGTGTTATAAGTGCGGTTAAGACTTCAAAATATAAAAATTAAGATCCGGTTCCTTTTGTGATAAAATCTCTATTTTGCATTGAAGGAATATAAATAGTCTCAAATTTATTTGAAAAATACGTTTAAGATAAATTTCAAACTTGATGCTGAAATGTAAACGTTTTTTTTTTAATGAAAGCATCGCGATAAGAAAAATTAGCATTATAATAGTGTCACTGGGTAACTATGGTGATACATGATTTATATACGTTATATGTAGATGTTTTCGTTGTATTTCAAAACTGTTGTATAAGTATAAAGTTATATTTTACGGAATGATTCAAACATAATTCGTATCAAAAGCGATTTAAAGATTAACAACAACCTCTCATCGTTTATATATACCACGCAAAATGCATGAATTATTATTTAAATTATTGTTTAGATTAATACATTGATCGAGTTATGATACATCAGGTAGTTTGTATTGTTTATTGGATAAAATCAACAAATTTGTCATCTGAGTTGAATCATTGAATTGAAATATCAGTATAAAAATATCTTTAAAAGCAGGAAAACTTGAGAATTACCGGAAATTTGTAATGTAGGGGCTAGATGGAATAAGTTTAAATATCTAATATGTTGTCCACAGGCATAAATTACAGTCAGGTAGCGCCTAGCAGGCTGTTAAAGAGCCGATTGGTTTTTAATTGTGTGTTCTTCTCCTCTTTCAAGTTTTACAAAAGTGACACGTTGCACAACACGAAAAAAAAACATGTCCCTCTGACGTCCCATACATGCTCAATCGAAGAGTTTGTATATGTGCAAGGTTTTGGGTATTGAGGCGGTCAATTTGCAAAATTTGTCCTGTGTTAGAATAAAATCTGGACCCACTTCACTTGCACAATTTATTGTTGTATATGTACGTCAAGAATTTCACGGCAATAATGTTCTGCTGCAAATGTAATGTTCATAGCAGTATAATGCAAACTATTTCTAATTAACTGCGTAGATACCCGAACAATTGATGCATTCTGAAAGCGGTTTCCTAACGAGGAAGCGGCGATCTGAAAACGATCCAGTCCAGTCTGAACAACAATATACCAATCTTGAACATAGATCTTAAACACATAGAATGGACACTATCATTTTAATGTGCAACATTTCATTCGATTTGGAAACAATATTTCATTCGTTGAAAGCATTTACGGTACGGACAACCATCTTCTGCAACAAACCAATCTCCTATGCCTCCAGTTAGGCGCCGCATTTTTAGATTTTGATTTATCATATTGAATGATAACACAAACGCCGAATAGCAATTTTTAGACAAAACACAGCATTTCAGACATGCCTTACTGTGCAAATCAATGATTCCCTTGCATGGCTATAACACACACGCTTTAACTTTCGTACATATCCGCTCACTATGACCAGCCTGCTATCGGAAGAAACAGTCATTAAACGATGGTCTTTGAGTAAATCTACTAGAAACAGAAATTAAGAAACTTATACATTTGAAATCCACAAATCGCGTATCTCCACTATTAAACGCTGAACAGGTACTATACAAATAAATGTATTTGCTAAACATAAAACAGTTTTTAGTTTGTTAAGGACATTTTTTTCACATTTCCATTGATTATTAATAACGCGGTATAACCACTAAGAAAATTCTAGATAATTGAAATAAGTATACTAAAAACAAACATAACGAAAATCCAGTAACCAATCTAAAGTCTTAAATGCATCAATTGAGAAACATTGGGTTACAGATGTCTACAACATTACAACACTTGAGAAACTTTGGGCTGACGTTTGCAACATTACATTACTTCAGAAACATTGGGCTGACGTTTGAAACATTACATTACTTCAGAAACATTGGGCTGACGTTTGCAACATTACATTACTTCAGAAACATTGGGCTGACGTTTGCAACATTACATTACTTCAGAAACATTGGGCTGACGTTTGCAACATTACATTACTTCAGAAACGTTGGGCTGATGTTTGCAACATTACATAACTAGAGAAACATTGGGCTGATGATGTCTTCACCATTACATCACTTGAGAAATATTGGGCTGACGATGTTTGCAACATTACATCACCAGAGAAACATTGGGCTGACGAAGTTGACAACATTTCATCACTTGAAAAACATTGGACTGACGACGTTTGAACCATTACATCACTTGAGAATCACTTGACTTACGATGTTTTCAACATAACATCACTTGAGAAGCATTGGGCTGACGATATTTGCAACCTTACATTACTTTCGAAACATTGGACTGAAAATGTTTGCAACATTACATCACTAGAGCATCATCGGGCTGACGATGTCTGCAACATTACATCACTTGAGGAACATTAGGCTGACGATATTTGCAACGTTACATCACTTGCAAAAACATTTGGCTGAAGATGTTTGAAACACAACATCACTTGAGAAACATTGGGCTGAAGATGTTTTCAACATTTCATCACTTGAGAAACATTGGGCTTACGATGTCTGCAACATTACATCATAGCGAAACATTGGACAAACGTTTGCAACATTACATCACTTGAGATTTATTGAGCTGACGTTTGCAGCATTACATCACTTGAGAAACATTGGGCTGACAATTTTTGCACAATTTCATCACTTGAGAAACATTGGGCTGACGTTCACAACATTAAATCACTAGGGAAACATTGGGTTGACGATGTTTGCAAATTTTATCACTTGAAAAACATTGGGCTGACGTTTGCAACATTAAATCACTTTAGAAACATTTGGCTGCAGTTGTTTGCAACATTACATCACTAGAGAAACATTGGGCTGACGATGTTTGCAACCTTTCATCACTTGAGAAACATTGGGCTGACGATATTTACAACATTATTTCACTAGAGAAACATTGGGTTGACGATATTTGCAACATAACATCTCTTGAGAAACATTGGGCTGTCGATGTTTGCAACATTTCATCAATTGAGAAACATTGGGTTGACGATTTTTGCAACATTATTTCACTTGAGAAACATTAGGTTGATATTTGCAACATTACATCACTTTAGAAACATTGGGCTGATGTTCGCAACATTACATCACTTGGGGAATATTGGGCTTGAGATGTCTGAAACATTACATCACCTGAGCAAGATTGGTCTGTGGATGTTTGCAACATTACATTACTAGAGAAACATTGGGCGTAAAACATAGAGCGGGTATTTAAATCTGCTTATTTTTGGCAAAGTTTGTCATTCTTAAACCTTAAAAAAAAGACACCCACGCCCATAATGCCGGCTCGCCACGGCGAGCCGGTATTATGTTAGGATTTTACTGAGAAACAACCTAAAACTTCGAATCCATCCAAAATTTAATCGAAGCTTGGCTTCCAGCTTTCTACAAAATTTATCTGTCAGGGCTGGAATCCAAAAGTATTTAGCCAATCAAATTTAATCTTACATAGCGTCAAAAAACCTTCAATTTTCACGCCATTTTTAAAAAGCAGCAAGTATTGCTTTGAGCGCAAAATGTTTGTTTTCATGAATTCTTTTCAATAAATCATATTTCTACTGACTTTTGATTTAGCGATTTCACCTGTTTTCTCTGTAGTAAGTTTTCGTTTGGTTAATTAACATAAGTGTACATCTGGTTCTGTGCATTTTTTTCTTTTTCTTTTTTTTCCGGTCATTTTATCCTTTCCGGTATTAAGTGTGTGGGGGGAATCTCGGGATCCGGGATCGTATTAGATATAGAGGAAAAACTAATAAACTATATTTGTGTTGATTATTGTCGTAATGAAAGGCCATTAAACGTTAAGTTTTTATTTTTTTATTGTATGTAAGAAACGTTAAATTAATTTAACTTAGGATATAGATATATTTAGAGCTATTTATTAACAAACTTAAAATGCGGAGATCACAATACTTATACTTATACGCCTAATTAATTGGAAAAATCAAAGACTATATTCTTGAATTGGTCAAATCCCGGAATCCCTATATGTTTTAAAACGATCTCAGCTTTTCTGAAAACTATATTCTTGACCTGGCCAATTCCTGGGATCGTTATATATTTTAATACGATCCCGGCTTATCTGAAAAACATCTTCTCAGACTGGTCAATTTCCGGGATCCCTATATTTTTTAATACGATCCCGGCTTTTCTGGCTGAATTGATTGACAACTTGTGTTTACTTTAGGACTTGTGTCTGTCACTCATTCCAACACTTAATAACATATTGCAACTTTGTATAAAGAGACATCTTTATGAATTCAAACTATCTAACATTTTTTTGGTCAAGGTCAACATGCCATATAGTAAATGTGCATAGACATAGGGACTTCATTCTATCTGTTTACATGCATCTTCATATATACTCATATTCCTCTTTGTTAAACTGAGAAAACTTGCTTCCATAACTTTATATGTCACTTTTATTTTGATGTTCGCTGAAGTCTCTTCAGCTAACAGAACTGTTTTTTTACATTTAAACACACCCCTGGAAAAAAAAGTACGAAGCGAGTCGCTACTAGCTTTTTTCAAAGCTAACCTTGTATATAATATCCGTTTAGGAGAACTAAAACGCGATGGACGAAGTGTTTTTTGTGTGTGTGTGCGTGTTTTTTGTTGTTAATTTTGTTGTTGTTGTTTTTATTTGGTTTTGTAGAGGGGGAGGGGTGTCTAATGCAGGACGAATGTTATAATTTACTGCACTGGATGATCTATATATAATGGCATTTACAAGAAAAAACAGTTTAAATACTTTAGTGATAAATATCAATGTTACGTGTAGTAAGTTTAATTACTTAGTGCTATCGCTTAAAATTGTCCACTAATTTTCAAAAAGGTTTTGAATTTTAAAACGTCTGGAATAGTGTCGATAATAAGAAAACGCTATGAGTATGGTCCCCGATGACTATTTTTCACGGTACTGTCATGTTTCTTGTATTTCATTGTCATTATATACCTAATATCTCATTCAATGCACAAGTACTGCAATAGTATTTGAAATTAATAACTACTAAAACGTGATCTAAACACTGTATCAGTACGTCTAGACATAAAACTACTGAATGCATGCCCCCAGATAAGCAAAAATATTTCAAGAAAATCAAACTAAGGTTTTATTAAAATTCAAGTAATAATCTATATGATTTGCGCGAATAATGAATGATTTCGCAGTATTTAGCAGCATATTTCTACTGCGTTACTAACGTAAAAGGGGATTTTTTTTCTTCATATTTTGACATTACTTTGGCAATTAACGTGGATTGTAGGTGCCGATTTCAATGCGTAAATTCCATTTTGTGTTCATTTTGCGCCGTTTAACTTTTAAATACATTTCAAAAAGGCAAATATAAGTTTTGTAATGTTTAATTAAATGTTTCTAGAAAATATTAAATTCTTATCACCTGAAGAAAGAAGTTTGATTAAAGTCATAAATAAATAATTAAGGTCATTTATAAACGTAAAATTTACAAAATCTCTGTTACTCATAGAAAATGTCCATTTGGCAGTATTTTGAGTCCTTTATCATATATCTAGCAATTTCATATAATAAATTGATACTTTCTTCTAATAAAAGTAAATAAAGAAATTAGACATGTTTTAATAGCCATCTTTATCTAAAAGACTTTCAAACATTTTATACTAGCATATTTTAGCTTTAATAATACTGATTCAAATTTACTAAGTAGTAGGAACGCATATATAAAGTATATAAGTTGATTATTTTTATTTTCGCCATTTGTTTGTGTGTTTGTTTTCCCAACAGTATTTCAGTCATATAGGTGGGTAGTTTCCTAACCATCGTTCCTGGAGAGTAACACCAGTACTAGACTACCTTCCTACATGCTAAACTACCAAAGCATCTCCCAAGGATCGAACCCACGCCAGAGAGGTAACTGGATTAGAAGTCATCGACTCTAACCCCTCAAACACGGAGGCCGTTATTTTCGCCATTTACATTTGGTTATAAAAAGTTGTTTTTTTTACAATTATTACATATTGATAAAACTTGATTTTTCTGCTTCTTTATCATCGCGCACTCATAAAACCGGGAATGTTTTCCCTGTACACTCTACACTATGATAACCGGTAATCAAGGTTGATATAAAACAACCTCCTGGTATATCTTCTGCAGCTCTAGCAGCACTTTGATTACTTTTTTTATTTCGCTTAGTAAGTCGACAGTAAAATTTGTTTGTAGAAGATATACGCACACGTTCATGCTATTTATAATACACTGTTTAAAAAATGAGAAAACATTAAATAATTAATTAATTATCTTGAACTGTGTTCTGTTAATTTGAGAAAAATTAAATGAAATCAATTTTGAAAAAGAATAAAATATAGAGAGTTACATACCAGCGATAGTGAGCCGCTTTTGTCGTCTGCACAATCTATCCGGGATACTTTCTGTTGCCGAATATATACGACCTGTAATTTATGTAATATTATACTCTATCTTTTTTATATTTTACCCTTCAATGAACAGATACTCCTACAGATCTAAAATGACAAAATGAACTTTAAGTGAAACAGACTTGTAAAAGACATACTCATTTGATTAATAACTGATCACAGTCTATTTTCATGTTTTGCTCTTTTTTCATTTATTTCATTAATGTTGTTTAATTGTTGTTGTCTTGTTGTTGTTGTTATTGTTGTTGTTTTCCGTGTTTGTTGCTTTGTCAAATTTGTTTCTGCGTGCGCTCTTTTATTTTGAATTCTTAAAATTGTTTAAAAGCATTTATGATAGTTTTGGGATGTAAATAGAAAAATATATACCCCAGATGTACATTTCACACGTTTATACGTTTATAATGACGAATCTAATACGAAGATTGCTTTAAAAAGTTCACACCTGCAAAATGCTATAAAACTTTGTAAAAGATTAGCATATGTAGCAATGATATTTTCTTGAAAGCTTAGAATAATATAGATTGTCAAACTTTTAAAATTGACATACAGATCAATCTTAATTGTTAAACCCTTTCTGATGGCACATTTCTTTAAATATTTAATTTAAAGTGACATTATGCCCACCCAAGTGTAAATGGTTATTGCAGAGGGAAAAGTCTAATTAACATTTGATTTTGCCATAAACGTATTAAATTTTAAATCTTAATACGTAAAATTAATCAATAATACACGAGACCCGCTAAAATTTCTAAAAATAGCGTTCAGAATGTATGGGTAGTGTTCAATTTATAAAAAGGGGCAATCTTATTGTATTTTTAGCATATTTGAGCCGCGTCACGACAAATCCAATATAATGGGTTTGCGACCGCAGTCTGATCAGGATCCATGCTGTTCGCTATCAGTTTCTTTACTTGTTATAGTGTCTGTAAGCGAACAGCACGGATCCTGATCAGACTGCGCGGATCCATGCTGGTCGCAACCCATTATGCTGGTTTTGTCGTGACGCGGCTCATTTTTCATTACAAATAACTGGTCAATCGCCATTATAAAAGTCAATCTTTTAAAAGATATTATTAATTCAGCTCAACTTGACGGTAAGAAATGAGCATAATGCCACTTTAAAGAACGTTAAGAGAGAGTTATACCTACATTTGTTATTATCTCTTTAGATTTATATAATATAATATGATATACCCGGATATAGCTTATGTTTGTTTGCGCTGTCGAGCTAACATGCTTACGTAGCGTGTTGTTCATGGACATATATCACATTTACCATACAAATAAGATATTATAAAAAAACATCTCCTTTTAGCTGGTTCGTTTCACACATTTTGCACATTCATTTTACCTGCAATACCCAGACTGAAAAAAAGGTACGGTGTTCATTCTGTTGGGTCCGGTTCTTATGTATCATAATAATAACTTAAACGCATACTATAACCTCAGCTGCAGTCGCATTATTGCACAATAAACGTATTTCTTTCATTCAAAATATATACTTTTTTTATCTTATGTAACGAAATAAAGTTATTTTAAAATATTTTACTTCTAAATGGATACATTATCAATAATGTGAAATAAGTCAATACGTTAGGTATACGTCATTTTACTTGAATTTCGGTGATATGGTGTATTTCTAGCTTTACCGGGGAAGGATAGTACACATGGAGTAAAATTTAAAATATCGACGATTTTCTGGAATGAAAGTTATTCCAAGGACAATAGGAGTAGCTGCGCAGTCGATGATATTACCTGGACTTTCTCTTTGTGTAAGGGAGGGGCTGTAATGATACGACATTGGCAAAAGGATGTCAGCCGTTAAGTTTGTTTTTCGCGTTTTTGTGGTGTTTTTTTATCTATTTTATTATTTGTTTTTTTTTTCATTTATTCATCTTTCTTATTTAGTTAAAATGTTTACAAAACGTAAATTTTGATCTGATCAATTGAAAATACACTGTTATAACGTAGATACAAGAAAGTAATGTTAGATTGGCCTTATATGTAAGATCTAGAATTTGTTGATGCGTGCAAGGTTTATTATTAACCACCCCGATCAGATTTACGCCTACTTAAATCTCGCATACAGCAACCTTAGCGTATGACAAACAGCGGTTTTTAAAGTGTGACACAAGTATCAATTTCATTTTTTTTTAATGTGTCCTTGGATTATAAAAAAGCATCATACACAGAACAAACGTTATATTATAATCGTGCTTGCATTATAAAGTTTGATAAGTTTGGTAAGTTTATTGTCAATATTCCCATGAGGATATACAATGCATTATATATGGCAAGACAGTACATAAAAACAATTTAAACAGCGGAGAAGGTTTACAAATAATTAAATGTCTTCCTAATTTGTATATGACATCAGATATTCTTACCTATAAATTTAATTTTACAATGAGAATTTTTTTCAGATATTTTTGAACAAAATATCTACGGCTCTTTCAATCGAAATCATATCATGTTGTACCGCATATAATGTTAATTTCGAGGAAAATGTAACATATACCCATGTGAAATTTCACATCGAACAAAATGAAAACCGAAAAGCCTATTCTATAAGCACATTTAGGCTTAATCATAAATGCATCTGATAATGACATGCAATATATAGCATAACAACTCAACCCATTACGAGAAAAAATATCTACTATGAGTACTCGCAACTGCCCCTAAACTGTATACTTAACTCTCTCAAAGATATTTCATCAAAAATAAGTGAGGGATTCTTGTCAATAATAATATCTTGATCTTGTCGAAACGAAACACAAGATCAACATATTGCTTTTACAATTACACCGAAATAAAAGTTTATTTACAAAGCATGCTTAAATTTTATATAAATGGAACACACATTATTATAAAAACATGCTTGCATAATATATAAATAGAGCAAAATCATATTAAATAAATGGTATAAACATTATGCAAAGAAAAGAAGAAGGTCCATTCTAATTAAATTCACCTCCTAATTTACGCTACACCAACAGGAAGTCACCTTATACCTTTCAAACAGCCAATCATCGACTAGCTTCAACAACTTTGAAAGCGACGCTGTTTCTAATTTTAATCGCTGGAAAAGCAATACTGAGTAGGTAACTTTTACAATATGGCATTGTCCGTATAGCCGGCATGTAAACTGGAAAAACAATCTTACCCCCCAAAAAACTGAGTCTATTATTTCTAGTTTATTTGTCTCAAATTGTTTTCAAACATTTTTTTTTAACAAAATGCAACATTATTTTTTACTTCCACGGACAGCGATATTTTAATACAGTAATCAAGGGACAGTTTGATTGCATGGCAAAAAATAGCTTTCTCTATAATTCCGAATCACAACGAAGGCGAAAAACATACAGTGGCTGTAAGAAATATCTTAGTATATGTTAATTTTACCCAGATTTTAACCTTTTCCCTCATATAGACGTGTTTTGACGGCTTTTCGTCACCCCTTTTTTCAGGCCTCAAACAGTGAAAAAAACCCTATTAAGGCCCCAAACACTCGTCGTTTTTCGGCGCCGCCCCTATCAAAATGTTACATCAGGGGGTTGCCAGAAGGGGGATATGCCCCCTTCTGTTGGGGGGGGGGGGTTGAAGGGGCGGTACGTAGTCCCCCTCATCGCCAAGAAAATTTTGGACATGTGACAGGCTAAAATGGCATCGGGTCGATCTTAGGGTAGCTAGTAACCGCTGAAAAACTTTTTTACTCTATCTCAATTCATCGAGAAGTTAAGTTGCAGCACTTTGAAATCAGTTTTGATGGGAAAAAATAACAATGCAAAATAGTGATTTTTTTGCAATTTTGAGATGTCCCCCCGTTGCCATGGTAACAGGAAATTTACGATTGAGCATGCTTTTAAAGAGGCTATGGTCTAGTCAACATTTGTGACTAGTTTTCATCAGTATTGAAGCATTTTTCATAGTTTCATAGCAGTTTGAACTTGTTTCAGGAGGCTTTTTTCAATGAAAACGGCCAACTTTTTCCCCAATTTTGCTCATGGGGAAAAAGGGTTTTAAACGCCCTTGTATTATAAAAGGAACAAAAAATTAATTCAAAATGAGGTTATGTTAATTAAATCCCAACTTCTTTTCCCTTTAAGAACCAGGTTGGTTTTTAAATAAAAAAATTTAAACACACTTTAATACTACAATTTTCTTGCTTTAAAAGTTTTAAAAAATTGGTCAAAATTTTTTGGGGTTTGGATCGGAAATAATTTCCCCCCGGAAGCTTGCCGTTTAAACCCCCCAAATTGGGCGGGTTCCCCAGGGAGGTTTATTCCGTTTCCGAAACCCCAGAAAAATATGTCAGTTTTTTTTTTTTTTAACTCTTTTTTTCTTAATAAAAACATTTTCAATAAAAATTTAGTCTTATAAACTATTTTCTTTTTTTAACAGGGTAAAAAAATTGACTTCATTCAAAGGGGGTTTAAAATTACACCCCGCCTCAGTTTTCCATTGTTGATCACGAATTTAAATCCGGTACACCTGTGCAGATAAAATTTTCCAGCAGGGGAAAAAACTTTTTGGGAAACCCCAAAATCTGAATACCAAAAAAATAGGAGAATAAAATTTTAAAATATAAATTGCGTGCTATAAAAAACGAAAACAAATTTTGTTATTAAAAAAAAAGGGTTTGCATTATTTTAAGGGAACAAACTTTATTTTAAAAACATGTTTCCTAATATAAAAATTTGAGCAAACTTTAAAGGTAAATTTAAAGGGTTTGGGTTAATAAATTTTTAAAAACCCAAACCCCAAAGCTTTGCCTTGAATTAAATTTTTAACTTTACTTTTACCCCAAAACAAAAGTTTGCGTGAAATATAATTTAAGCAAAAAAACATTTACACAAAAACTAAGTTTGTGTTGAATTTTTTAAATTAAGCTTTAACATTACACCAAAACTAAGCTTGCGTTGAATATAAATTAAGCATACATTACACCAAAACTAAGCTTGCGTTGAATATAAATTAAGCATACAATACACCACAACTAAGCTTGCGTTGAATATAAATTAAGCATACATTACACCAAAACTAAGCTTGCGTTGAATATAAATTAAGCATACATTCTTGTGTAACATATAAATG